TTTTTTTTTTTTTTTTTTTTCTTTTGCTTTATTTTCACTCAGCGCAGAAAGAGAAAAGGGTGACTAGAAAGAAAACAAATCTAACTTGTAACTGAATCTTATACACTTCTGATCGTATAGGCTTGTCAGCTGTTTATGTCGGTGGCAGTAGAGCAAGCAGGTATCGACTACCATGTGGTTTTGGCACAGAACGCACTGCAACAGTGCCTAGACCAGCCTGAACTTCAATCTGAATTCATTTGCGCACTGGTAAAGCAGACAAGTCGTCACACGCAACACCGTTTGGGCGTACAGGTAAAAAAGGCCGCCAGACTTGTGTCACTGGGTACTGCGCGCGTTGTAAGTCCTGCTTATTGTTTAACAAAAACAACACTCAACATCCTGTACCATTTTTTTTAAAGTTATGAGCGATAGCAATATCATCATCGATCACGTTTGTCAGAATGGATTTGGATTTCATCTATCATATGCTCATCATTTAACTGGTTCCGGTATCATTTGATTCACTCGAACAATTTCCCATCCATTGCGGAAAATGGTACATTGGGTAATGCTTAGTCAAGTATTACGAATATTTTTATTGCGTATAATTTTTACTATAAATATAAATTTGAACATGGAACGTAACCAAGTAGTAATTTTGCGCAGCGCTAAGTGCCAATTAAGAATATTACATTTAATAAATACTACGCGATAATACTTGACCAAGTTCAGCGACTTTCAGTTTTAAGGAGATTGAAGCGCTACTCCCTAGTTAATCAGTATTTCAATAATAAAATCGTTTTAAATGACTAAAAAATAATTTTACAACAATATTAGTGAGACAAAATTCGCAAAAATCATAATGTGTAATCATTTTTTTTTTATTTTAAAAGTTATATATTTTAAAATGACAAAATAAGAGTTGTAAGACCGATTTGACGTCAATACTAATTATAAGAGATAGAAACATGAAATGCACTCATTGTTGTATTTCACAAATGGTCAGTTTCATTTAATTTGAATTGGAAATGCATAGATGTTATGTTAAAATGATTAATAAGCACATAGAAGTATATGGAAAGTACATGATACATATAGAAATGACATAAAGTTATTTAAGATGCAGCGTTAACTTATTATTTACGTGATGTTGACTAGGTCTGTTAACATTACAAATGTTCGAAAGCGCCAAATAAACTGATCAAATTTATTTATTTAACACTAAAGCATTTCAAGTGTCAATTGAACACGGTCTGTTATCATGTTTCAATTCATATATTGTCAATTTCACAAATATTCTTATCGAAATATATAAGCTTCTTTTCAATCTGACGATGAATTTATGTGATACTTCACTAAAACATGCTTAAATTTATTTTATCATTACTACAGTTTTCTAAATTTGTCTTATATACAAATATGTCAAAGAAATTTGTTGTATTATAGAGGTTTTGCGAAAAAGATTATTGAAAATTCTTACACATTATTAGTTTAATTAACTTTTGTATCATGTAAATATTATAAATTTATCTTATATTTCGTTAAAAACGCTCCAACCTCCTTAATAATCATTCACACATTTAATTCTCATTTGCCGCTTTAAGTGTGCTGTCTTTTAGGCTCTCACCACTTGAATCGCATGCGTTTACGATTCCGTTAAATATCACACATGACGTTAAGTTCCGTTTATTTTTTACTATATATTTTAATATTTACATCTCTCATACCCAATCAGAATTACCTTAACGCCCTTCATGTGAGCCGAACATATTTCGACGATGCCATAATATTGTAATTTAATGACATCCAATTGTATCACGTATATATTACGGGGAATAATTCGTTCTCTCTTTCTTCCTCTTATGAGATTATCTGTCAAAATACGTTCCGCGCCACACACACACTTGCAGAATGGTATGTTGGTGTACATGAGGACACACACAGAGAAACATATTTAGATTCTCTTTTTTTCTAATTTTGCGTAAGTTCCTTTTTTATGATATATAGCTGCAAGCAGTTACTTCGATATTCTCTGTTTGAATGCTGCTTAGAAACTTAGATTTTTATCATCGGAATCGATTGTTCTGACAAATAAAATCCTCCCTGTCCGCTCTATCTTTCCAGACGTCGCAAGTATCTAAAAATGCCTGAGAAATGTCTAAAACGTTGAAAACGTCTTTAGAGATATTTTGTCGGCAGTCTTTTGGATTTTTGGACACTGTTTGGATTTTATCCTTCTTTTCTTCCCGCCAAGTTTCGTCTCTTTTTCCTTATCCTCTGTCCTTTTAACCGTCTTCTTATTCCTTTTCCGCTTATTGAAAAAAACATTACAGTGCGTGGACATATCGAATTCCGAGTTTTATATTGCTATAGACGTAAATTTGCGAGAGAAAGAGCAAGCCTCGCTCGTCTCATGTAACGTCAACGAACGTAAACGCAACGCTTTTACAGCTGTACGGTAGATTTCACGCGGCCTCAGAGCCTTAAGAGCTTCTCTCATTCTCACATGTTTTGATTTATTCAATTTTTGAGGGTTTATACCGAGTACGCGTTTTTTATCCGATTAACACGTAGAATTGTGCGTGGAAATTTCGATTTCTCGTGCTTATTTACTAACCGAGCCACGATTAATTCGACTTATACATAATGGTTGCTATGAATAAAATGGGAACAGTATTACATTAAAAAGAAAGTAGTTGCGCCGTGAAAAGTCGACAAAATGAAAGAAATTAATAGGACTTTATTCTGCAAGATCGTGAATTTCTAATTTTTGAAATTAGAGAATCTTAAAAATATTTTGATTCTTTTTATATATATATATATATTGCTTTCTATTTATTATAATTCTTATTTAATGACATTAAGCAATTTAATGCTTTATAAAATTAATACATGTGACATAGTGACTTTCTCATTTTACTCAATTCAATTGTATCGCAACATTTTATCTCACAAGAGAGTTTGATCTTCTAAGAACTTGAGAAAATTGAATATATTAATTTTCTCTAATTAAGAAAATAAATGCATAGAAAAAATAAATAGTGCTAATATGTAATAGCAAAGAGAACAAGAAAAGAATTTGAATATTCTTAAGGTGTAATCATAAATTTCGAAGGATAGAAATAAGATCTGGCAGAATAAAAAGTCCCGTCGACTTCTTGATTTATTCATTTTTTCACAGACTGTAAATATCTAAAATGAGTAAAGAACTGAAGTAAAGTCGAAGATTATAAAGTAATAAAATCGATAAAGCAAAATAAAAGTAGTAAAAAAAAAGATGCTTTATTACTCGCTGTCGTTCACCAAGACGTTCACGCGAGCTGACGAGATCACGTCGTTACCTCGAACGAAAAGTAGTAAGCTAGGATTGGCTGAGTATAATATATACAGGGACGTAGTAGTATGCCAGCATACCATTGCAGCAGCTCCTCCTCTGCGCCACGCAATCGCTCTTCACCTGCGATACGCAAAGTCCCGCGGCAAATGGCAGCGGTGAAAATGCGGACGCGCAATCAACGGCCTCGACTTCTCACAGTCCTCCGCTCACGCAGGGCCACTCGACCTCCACTATCCTGGACTGCAAAACTAATCCCGCGCAGTACGTGCTTATCCAGGGATGGCAGCTCTTGGCGCTCGCCGTCTCTCTCTTTCTGCCAAGGAACAATCGGCTACTGTGGTACCTGAAGCTGCACCTGCAAAGGAACGCCGACAGCAAGTGAGTGATCTGACTCGAGCGAATCGATCATTGTATATTTCGCTGAGATTTCTCAGGCATTGTGTGTTTTCTGACCGCAGATTCGCCAATCCTTGTAAGCTTTCGCTTTAAAAACTCGACTTCTATTCTCACTTCTCTAATGATCGATTTGATCGCAAGTCTTCATCCTTGTCATGCTACATAATATCACGTTGTTACACCGACAGGACGGAATGTGGCAAGTACGCGGCTTACTGCGAGAGAGCCTTGGAGAGAACGTTGCAGAACGGCAGTAGAGAAGTGAAACCGTCGAGGATGGAAGTGCTGTCCATACTGATGAAGAATCCGTACCACCATTCTCTGCCGCATGCCATACCGGTGCATTTTCTCAACGGCATGTATCAAGTCGTAAGCTTCGACGGCAGCACCACGATAGAGGAGTTCTTGAACACCTTGAATCAAGAAATCGGTTGCAGAGACGTTCATCAGTCCGGCTTCACGCTATTCAGCGACGATCCAATTGAGAAGGATCTGGAACACTTCATCGATCTGCAGGCGAAGGTTCGTGTTGTCAGAAAGTAATATGATTGTGAATCACCATTATCTTTGCAAACTGTATTATTTTCAAACTTTAATGAACTCTGAGACCTATGACTCGAGTTTCTCGCGTATCAATTTCAGCTGTGCGATATTATCTCAAAGTGGGAGACCGCGTTACGAGAGAAGGGCTCGGGGAAATTTGAAAACACCAGAGTGATACAATTGACGTACAAGTCACGATGCTATTGGCGGCAGGCCGCTAAAATGGAAACGGACAAGGAGAGGCTCCTCTTGTGTTATCAAGTCAACCAGCAGGTTGTGCAAGGAAAATTTCCGTTAAATCGTGAACTCGCTTTCGAACTGGCGTCGTTAATGGCACAGGTGCGCTTGTGTGTGTGTGTGCATTGTCTGTTAACAACCTAAATCAGTATTCAAGATATCTCAAGCTGAATAGGCCATTCTGCGATATGCTTCGTCGCGTCGACTGTGCATTGCAATTGATTTTCAGATCGACTTTGGGGAATACAACAATGACAAGGCGCGCGGTAGCGGCCCTGGAAGTAATCCGCATCATCTCGTGCTGCAAGCTCTGGATAAATTCTATCCGATACGTTATCGGGCCAATATCACGGCCGATCAATTAAGGTGCGTGGATATATCATATATAAAATTTTCTTTTTATATCGCCCAGTGCATGTTATTGCGTATATTCGCTTTCACCCAACAACGCATAATTTTTCTCACTTAGGGAGTTGCAAGAGAAACTGCAGGAGAAGTGGATCGCATTGAAAGGACGTAGTGTACTGGATTGCGTTCGGATCTATCTTACGTGCACCAGAAAGTGGCCTTTCTTCGGAGCTACTCTGTATCAAGCAAAGGTATAAATGAAATTCGTGATAAAAGTTAAATTTAATTGCAATTAAGTTCAAATTGAGAAGATTTAAGTTTGATCGAGATTAAATTAAAAATAGAATTCAGTCTGAAGTTAACTGCAAACTAATTTAATTAAATCTAATTAAATTTAAATATGCAATTGAAATTATATGAATTCGGATAAAAAATTTAAATAAAATTAATTTCGGATTAAAAATTGAAATTTGATTTCGATACGTATGGGCGAAAAAAGGGGACAGGGTTTTATTTGAACCAATCAAATATCACAAGATGGTAAATAAATCTTATAAACAGAATCATTTTACATTCCGTTTATCCGCAGAGAGAGAGAGAGAGAGAGAGAGAGAGAGAGAGAGAGACTGATTACTTCTCATCTTATATGTGCATATAAGGTTATTACATGAGCAATTATATGTGACATTATATTAGTCAGAAAGTTCGATTTTTTAGTTTTAATTTGATATTATATTAATGCAAATATTTAATGCAAACAAATTATTCATCAACGAAGTGATCGTCGTTGTCTGTGATCCTTCGTCAATGTTCTAATAGTAGAAGATCATCAACATTCATTCCTACTCATGTTTACAATTGGTTACTCATGTAACCAATTGAAAACTGAGTTAAACTTCTTGATTTGTCTAACATATAATCTCGATTGAAACTCAAATTTCTTAAATCTATATTTGCTCGATGTTCCGTGTTTGATTGAATTCTGATGAATCTATGTTTTAGATTGCTTATTACATTTCCAAAAAAAAAGAAAAGAAACAATCTTTTCAATATCGTGATACTCTACATTGAAAATAACTTTGCCATTCCTTTCAGCTAAAACAAACCGATCCTGTCACCGTTTGGATAGCAGTTTCCGAGGACAGCGTGACATTGCTCGAATTGCAGACCATGGCGGTTATGTGCCGTTACAATTACGCGAACATCGTGACGTTCGGCGGTTGTTTGGACGATTTTATGCTCGTTGCTTGCCCGGACGAAGGTGCAGCCGAACAGAAACTGCTATTCGCACTTTCGAAACCCAAAGTAAGAGCAACCTTGTAGCCAACGATCTAGAAAAATATATTAATTTCAACCATTGTGCTTACGATTACGTAACTTTTTAGATCTTGGAAATAACACTATTAATCGCAGACTACATGAACGCGCTGGGCCATACTTTACCGGGCACACCTCAAATGAACACTCTAACGCGCAACGGATCGCACCGTTCCATTAAATCCACCCTGAGACCTGCGACTGGTTGGTGAAAGAAAAGAAATTTTTTCTCTTTTTTCAATAATAGGTGTACTTGGCAAAATTGTAAAACAGATTCTACCAAACTTTATTATGGTTGCAGGTTCAAGCTGTCTTCCAACTCAACCCGACATTTTGAAATCGACACCGGATCACCAAAGACCTTAAGTAGAAAGGCTGGCTCACATTAGTCCTCGAGAAGACGACGGCAAATGTATCTCTTGAATTCGCGCAAAGGTCTGACTGTGACGAGTATCTTCTCTTCTCGTCTGTATTATAGAAAAAGAGCAGCGTAAAAGTGCAGTATTAGTATCGTACACCGCGACGCCATCGTTTCTTTTTCGGTGTAAAAAGGAGCGCAATCGCGTGCGTTCGACTCATATTCACGTTTTGTCGTATATGCATGTAAATTAGTATCGACGCTTGTAAAACCATATCCGTGTAAATATTTAACGAGAGGAGCGAGCTAACCGCGAAAAAAGAATCGTGCAAAGCAAGAAATCCGGTGGTTTGAAAAGTAGTGACTGAGATGAATCGAGAATCGATCTGTTAACACTGCCTAATTAGTGTGTGCGCGATTAACACATCGAATAGTTTCATCACGCGGCTAAGTATCACGCTGACTTTTGCTACCGTATTTATATACTAAATTTAAAAAAGAAAAAGAAAAAAATAACGAAAAGAAAGGCGGATAAGATATTGCGTAAGAGTGATGTATTCACGTACCGTGTATATATTAACCAGAGTTATTAAGTGTTTAGGAGTTATATAAAAAAAAAAGCGACACAGCGATATGTTCCTCCCCGACTTCACCGAGTAAAATTGTTGCGACCTATGTGTATCGGCGAAGAAGGTTTACTTAGCAGCCAGAAAACGCATATGTGAGTGCCATCGCTGTCATGCAACGTGTAACGCGATTTTCTCCTTTTCAATTTCGTTCAACATCCTTTATTACGTTGCTGCTTCCAGCGGTATATTGATTTTAATGAAATTCGTGGTAAAAGTTAAATTTCATTACAATTGAGTTCAAATTGAGGAGATCTAAGTTTGATCGAGATTAGATTGAAATTAAAAATGGAATTCAATCTGTAATCAAGTGCAAACTAATTTAATTAAATCTAATTAAATTTAAATGCAATTGAAATTATATGAATCCGGACAAAAAATTTGAAGATTAAATGAAATTAATTCGAATTAAAAATTCAAATCTGACCTCGATACATATGGGCGAGAAAAGGGGACAGGGTTTTATTTGAACCAGTCAAATCACGAGATGGCAAATGAATCTTGTAAACGGAACCATTTTACATTCCGTTTACCCGCAGAGAGAGAGACTGATTACTTTCTTCTCATCTTATTCTCGAACGTCTGTTTCTTTACTTCTTACACGTGAGGCTACTCGCGAGAATATCGATTAACTAACAAACAAATATCCGATTATATTAACTTGGATAACAGCTAGTCTCGATATTTATTATTAAGGTACAAGTGATTGCGTTTCTTTTGTTTTTGTACAAGGACACGATGAAATAGATTGTAATAATGGGAACGTAATTTATTATTTAACAATTAGAGCATCGCGTTCCTGTGTGCGTAATACTCTGTGTGCAACATTGTGTATTAAAAGTACGCGACGTAAGCGGTTTATAGCGTTGTTTATTGTAAGGGAAGTTTTGTACTCGTTCGACGTATCCTACGTAACTAGCAAACGTCTTCCTTCTAGCGATTACGAAACGAGCGGGACTAAAGAAAGAAAAGAAAAATAAAGCAGGGCTTTCGTGCAATACGTACAAGACTTTGGGATGGTTTTGTAATTTCGCGACTACGATTGCGTCTGTATCCTTCGAAAGAGAGCGAGTGAAACTACAACCTCGAACGGGAAAATCAAAAACTCGAAGAACTTACAAAGGACATCCAAAAGTTCCCATCCTCGAGGATCTTTCGAGAACGTCTTCATTGTGTTCGCCAAAGGTCTGTTGTCTGAGAACGGACGGACTAAACGCGTATACCCGGCTTCATTTAGTGCATCTTCGAACGTTTGTACGAATAATTCGAACCTCAGACTACTGAGTGCAGTACAAAGATTATGCAAGAACGACATTTTGTCCCTAATTTTTTATAACATACGCGGTATATCGAGTGCTATTGCGCGGGTGACTAGCACCTTCTCCTCTCCCCTCCCCTCCCCCTGTATATCACGAGTCTCGGGCGCGTATGTAGTGGAAGAGATCGTACGTATACGTACATACTCATTCGTGTAAATATTCATATAAAAGACGGACGTTTGTGTTTCTGAAAAGTAGTAGAATCAAAATAGGCAGCTAGTAATTTATATCGATCGAGCTCTATCCGGATCGCATTCTATCGAGCCTATCTCTCATCTTACATTTATATTTATTATTTATTCATATGAGAAAAATGAGGTACGAGCGAGACCGACAAGTGAAAAACGTTGTGTACTATTGTACAGAAGAACAAATAAACTGCACATTAATACATAACGTACACACATCCGTATGTGAACTCATTCCACAAAATTATTTTAAATTCAATTTTTTAAACTTGAAGCATCGTGTCTATTAGTGTTTCTGACTAAAATGGGTTTGTATCGCTCCGGGAACTATCTAGACGAATATTTTAGTCGAAAATGCTATTAATGTATATTTCTAATGATTAAAATCATGTGTTGTGTGAAACTGTGACAAGCTCTGTAACACAGAATTAATAGATATAGGAATTTGATTTAATCGTTTAAGGGGTAAGGCTACTAGAATTTTCAAAAAATCGTTTTTTTTTTTACTTAAATGATGCTTTAAGAATGCTTATTTCTTAGAAATAAGGTACAAAAGGTCTATAACGAAAAAAAATTCTTAAGTGTCATTTTTGGAAGTTTAAAGCGTCGTACCTTTCGGTAAGATGTGAAACGTTTGCGAAGGGATCCTTCTGAGAATAATAAAGGGATTATTTACGCACAGTTAAGCTTGGGTAAGGTTTTCTTAGGTTCCTGGTGAACGTATAGATGGCACTAGTAGTATAAAAGAGCAAATGGTTAGTATAGCCGTTCAAACAATATAGTTTACACGACATTTTTGTCTCTTATATTTTCAGATACAAAATTTGAATATCGATCATACGCTTTAAAAAATTAGTGATTACTTGTACATTGAGTGGAACAGTACCGCAGAGTCGTAAAGGTATGAAAAGTACTAGTAGATATGAGAAAAGGTCGAAGATAGACAGGAGATCGTTAAATCGATTTGAAATGGAGGCTGCGCCGGAGAGTGTCGGTACTTCTGCTAAAAAACTAAAGAAATCTAAAGAATCATATGATGGAATCAAAGTGAATGAAACTTTTAGCTACCGTTTAATAAATTTTATTGCGGTTTTTACTGCCATTTCGGAATCTGTTGTGTGTAAAACGTGCCATTCTAAAGTGACATTCAGCGAAAACAGCAAACGAGGCTTGGGATTCAAAATCGTTCTTGTGAAAACTGCGGTGATATTTTCATTCCGAATTGTCCTTTTATCGATAATGCATATAAAATAAATCGTAGAATGATTTTTGCTATGCGATTGGGTGTTGGTCTTTATGGAATAGAAAAGCCTTCATGGATCTTCCTCAACCGATTTTTCATTCATTTTACGATAGACTCACGCATACACTTTCACGCGCAACTGAAATAGTTGCTAAAAAAAGTATGCTAATGGCAGCTCAAGAAGAAAAAGCTTTGTCTATAGAAAAAGGTCAAACAGATGGTTTAACAGTGTCAGTGGCAATGGATCGTGGAGAAAACGTGGCTTTTCATCACTGTTCGGTAACACTGGATTGGTAACATTAATTGGATGGTTCTCTGGAAAAGTAATTGACATTATTGTGAAGTCTAAGTATTTGAGCTGAAATTTGTAGCTTCTAAAATACATTTGTCAGCAAACTACGTACGGATTTTACGTTTCGTTGTAAACTTTTTTTTTATAAATAATTTTCTGCAAAGTTTTTCGTCAAAAAATGAAATTTTTTTTCAAATTTGTCATTTTTACAAAAAAAATTATTTTTTAATTTCCATACGTAGTTTGCTAGCTAATGACATAAAGAATTTTTAAAAAATTGGTTTTTTATTCTAGAGCAAAATTGGAGCAGATTTCGGTCCGGCCATGAGGCACTTTCCGAAACGAGTGGTCATCGTCGCCGAGCTCTGTCATTTTGTAATAAAAAAAATGCAAAAAAATTTGTAGCAAAAAATGTTTTTATATATTTCAAAGTATGTAGGATAAAGTACTTAAAAAGAATTTTTCTTTACTGTTTTTGTTTTCCCGTAAAAAATTATTAAAAATAGGCCTTTTTGGGGGGCTCTACAATGGCCTTACCCCTTAAACAATTCAATCAATTTTTTTTATTATTAAGAACAACTAAAAATTAAAAATCAGAATTAAATAATCAAGTAATGTAATTCAAGTAATGCATTTTGTGTATAATATATAGATATGATTAAAACTTTTCAGTCTACTTCTTCAGGTCTCACAGGATGTGTCAGTGGAATTACAGATTTCTTTTTCACGTCTTTTGACAATGCTTTCCTCATATCTAGAAATAAAATAATAACATGTTAATGTGGTGAAAAATATATTTAAACTCATGTTACATAATAAAAGATATATTTAAACTTCATAGAGACAAGCTCACCGTATGCATCTTCGTCAGGATCTCCATTGTAATATTCCAATACTGTCCTATAAACAATGTATCCTAATTGTTGGTACATCTTAATGGCTACTTTGTTACTGACTCTTACAAAAAGATCCACGAAATAGGCCTGTTTCCTGGTTTAAAAGATATAATAGCAATTGTTATCTATTCTTTTAAAATAGTATTTAACTATTTAATTCTAGCTAATAATAAAATAATATTAAGTTATTATTTTTACCTAAACAACAGATAAGTAACTCACTTTTCTGAAACTTCCTCAAGGAATTTCATCAACATTGCAGCGAGACCTAGTCTTCTATAATCAGGAGAAACTGTGAGAGCTGTCACATGGCCATGCCAGTTTTCTCCATGTCCTTCTGCCTTTCCCATGACTGTAAAAAGTTTTCAAGCAATGGCAATATTAATATCAAACTACAATGAGGAATTATACTTTATATATGCAATAGCATAATGGAATTGAACTTACTATAACCCATTATTTCACCACTTGGAGATTCAGCCACTTGGAAATACTCTGGCCAATGTGCAAGGTAATGCATATAAAATGAAAGTCCATACTAAATAGAAATGTAGAAAATGAAGGAATATACATTGAAAGCATTTAAAAAATAATTTTAACAGAAGTTTCTCTTATTTATATTGATTCTTTATCAATATCTTAGTTCTGAGAAGTTTTATTAAAACTAAAATCATTTTAATAATAAGATATCTTTCACAGTATCTAATTTATAAATATTAAAATATTCAAAAAAATATGCAAAGGTTTTCCATCCATTTAACAATTCTACTGCTAATCCAATACACTTAGAAAATCAAGTATATATATTATAGTTTACACAATCAAAATTATTCATATTATAATTAATGAATTAATGATATAATACATAATTAGTATATCATTAATAACTGTCAAATTATGAACTGAAGTAAAGGATACTGTTTCTGTGAGAGGATCCAGATTTCTGTGTGAAGAACAATAATAATTAAATTCTAGGTTATGACAAGAACAAACTGTCGCTGAAAATTACTTACACGTTGTTAAATTTAAATAAATCGTTGCACGTGAAAGGCCTGAGTGTCGTCATTCTCAAAGATTTATTAAAGACAGTTTATTTTATTCAACTTTTTGAATAATGTAATTACAGTGATCAAAACAAGAAAAGATCTTTATATTTAGCAGACCACATCTTCTCCCTCTTTATTGACTACGAGACACCGAATCCATATGGTCCAGGAGCTCGATTCTTGATGGTGTACGAATGAGACACGCATGCGAAAATCTACAGTATACGCAACGTGAACTATATATTGTCACATGCAAATGAGATACGCATGCGAAAATGTATAATTCACGTTACATATACTGTAGATTTTCGCATAAGTATCTCATTTGCACACACCGTCAAAAATCGGGCCTCAGGAGCCACAGATTCAAGGAAGAAAGGAAGGAAGGATTGGGTACTTTCTAGCTACGTTACATAAAATCAGTTTATTGGTCACATATTATCTAAAATGAAAATTGTAAGATAATATGCAACCAATAAACTGATCTTGTGTAACAGAGTATGTAGTTGGAAAATAGCCATTGTATGCCAACTATAGAGTTTTATATTTCATGGCTGGACACGTCATTGGTTATGATGTTAAATGGTGACATCTTATTACAAGTTTTTGCCGCATTGAGCGCCGATTGACACATACAAGTCTAAGTTTTGCAGAAAATATGGAATCATTGTACCATCAAACTAATAAATTAGTACAGGAAACGCAGCATCTTTTTTCGCAATTGGAGCGAAAATCATCCAACGCGGATTTACAAGAAGTAAAAGCGTCTATAGAGAACAAAATCAACCTTATCAACAGGTAGTCACAACCAGCAATACTGTTTGCATTGTTTTTTTATCGTTTGTGTATAATTGTATATTAAGAGAATATAATGTCGTACATTGAATTTACTTGCCATTGTTTCTTTTTAGTAATTGTGAACGATTGGATGTGCTGTGCCTGAAGGGACCTGTGTCCCAGAGACAAAATGCCAGAATGCGAGTGGACCAGCTAAAATATGACAGCCGTCACCTCAGCGCTGCTTTAAATTCATGGTACAATCGCGTGATAAGACAACAAAGAGAGGAGGCTGAAAGAGAGGCTTTACTAACAAGACAATTCACCTCCAACGATCATGTTGATATTCTAATAGATCATACTGTACAACACAATAACAATTTACACAATGCAGTTCATGGCATAGATGATTTGTTGCATCAGGGAGGCAGTGTTCTAGATAATCTAAGATCTCAGAGAATAACATTGAAAGGAGCACACAAACGCTTAATAGATATCGGCAACACCTTAGGTCTCTCTAATACCACTATGAGGCTAATAGAGCAAAGAGCTCGGCAGGATGGTTTTATTTTAATTGCTGGTATGACAGTTACATGTCTAATCATTATTTTGGTAATACTCTATCTTAGATGAGCACATTCCAAAAAGTTATAGGATATAATCTTGATAATTATGCACTATAATTATTAATTATAATTGTATTGTTTACATGTATACTTGCATTGATATTTTTCATTTATATAATTTACAGTTATTTTCATTGTTTACAAAGATACCACAAATTTTGTGATCTATTGATATAAAAGTTCATATATGTAAATATATACCAGAACATACATCTTATATTTATTTGCTATAATTTAGCCACATTTAGTTATAAAAGTTAGGAGTTTTTATTATGAAATAAGTTATTGTATATATAAATACATAGTATATGTTCCTACATTAGTAATCTTTTAACGTCTCAAGTTTGTTATTTTAATAAAAATTAATTTATGTTCTGAAAAAAAGGATACATAAATGCTAGTCATAATAATTGTAATATGTAAATGTATGATGTATAAATGTTAAAAGCATTCACGACATATTGCGGATTTATAGGAATCCTAGCAACAAATAATGAATTTTTATTGATCAACTATAAACTGTTTTTATTCGCACTTTCAAATTCTTAGAGTAAGTGCTGAACGATATTAAGTGCATTCAGCGATATTTAAACCCGTTATTTCTGTAAAATATTAGTCAATATAGATGCTACTTGTAGCCATCATTACTTCGATTCCTTATTAAGGAAAGTGGCAGCTCGTAGCAGAGACTTTGGTATTAATTTACAGAAATAACGTCAAAGGATCCATTACATGCCGCAAATGCTTTAAAGCGTTTAAAAAGAAGCCATATTTGGTCTATACTGTTCTTCAAAGTATTTATAGCGTCGGTCTAAAGGTCGTTCTACATTAGTTGCAAGCCGATCGCAAGCAGACGCAATTCTTATTGCGACAGCCAATCAGAAACATGAATGGTGCTATTGACGCTTCTAATTGGCTGTCGCGACAAGAGTTGCAATCGACTTGCAACTAATGTAGAACGATCTTTATAGATCGCGCCCCAAGAAGTACATTAAAGCCAACGAAACACGATGCTTGTTTTTAGGTACGATCCATTAGATGCTGCAATACCTGGAAGCGCGTTTAAACTAATCGTAGGTTTTCTTTAAGTGTTTGCAGCGTGTAAGTCCCGTTCCACAATAGGTGTAGTAAGTTTTAAGCCTTATGGCTCCTGCACAGGACGCGGTAATACTTGCCGCGCGGTGGAAGTTCACGCGAGCTAATTAATATGCTGTTTTCTGTAATAACCTTCTAGCTTTTACAGAAAAACAACATATTGATTGGCTGTCGCGCGAACTTCCACCGTGCGGCAAGTATTACCGCGTCCTGTGTGCAGAAGCCATTAGAGAACTTCTAGTAAAGAGAATAGCCAACTTTGTCATGTGACCAGCTACTCAGCTACTCTGCAATTGGCTGGCATAAACATGTACAGATTTGGACATTGCGACGCCGATGCAAAACCATATATACATATATATAAATATAAGCATTTGTTCTGCATTGGCGTCGCAATGTTCAAATCCGTATATATTTATGCCAGTCAATCAACTAGCCAAATTCGATGACCAAGTTCGATGGCTACGTGGTGATTCTCTTTACTTAAGGTTCTCTAGTCATACTGAACCTCAGTTCCGGCCTAATCGACATAATGTGTAGATATGCCTAAACAAGTTCGCACCTAATATTTTTATTTTAGAATTTGTATTTCGGTACCTTGGCAGAAAGGACTATTTGAGAAAATCTGCAAGCCAAGTAAAATATAAAGAAGAAAAAAAAGAAGAATACTAAAACGCAATGAACAATTTATGTTCAATCTCGATATTGGCACTTCTGATAGTTAGAATTTAATCGTTGGTTGGTTTAACCGTAGTTGGTAAAACCGGCCCCTAACCGCCGTTACGTTGAGACGTGACTGAAAGTTCAGGCCTCTGATTTTTGGAACGTTGCCTTGGAATCTGCCAAGACCTTATTCACTTATATCCCTTATAACTCATTCCTAGTACAAATGGTGTGAGGGCGAAAATCGTGAGATCGCCTAAACCAACAAGTGAACCTGACCTACCTAACATAACCCTAACCCAACTTTATTTCGAAACACGTGTGTAATACAATCTGTTGTGATTGTATATTAGTATTTTTGTTTCTAACATTGTGGAATTAAAGTTATTAGAGTTATAATTTTAACAGTAATTAATAGTAATAATAATGGATGAATTACTGAAGGATGCGCGTTTTGCGCATATTGCGAAAGATCCAAAATTTCGACGTATACCCAAAGCTGAGAGAAAAGTGAAAATTGATAAACGATTTCAAGGCATGTTTAAAGATAAAAAATTTACCGTGACGTATACTACTGATAAACGCGGTAGACCAGTCAATCAAACCACTACAGAGAATCTTAGAAAGTATTATGATCTATCTAGTAACGAAGAAGAAGAAGATTCAGATGAAAATACTTCTGTATTATCTGCAACTAAGAAAATTAAGAAAAAGGAGAGCACAAAGGATACTAGGAATAAAGAAATAAAGAATAAGAAGACAAAAACAAGAGATATAGATACAAACTCTTTAAAAAAGAAGAAGATAGCAAGGGAAACGGATACAAATTCTTTGAATAAAGAAAGTAAAGATGAGGGAAACAATGATAAATATTTTTCGAGTAATGAGAATTTGTTACAAATAGAACCAAAAGAAAAACATGATCAGCACTTTGATGATGAATCAGATGAATCCTCAAGTGAGGACAATGAGGATGAATGTATTCAGGAAGGATTTGCTGAGGTAAATTTAGATGAAAACGAAAAGCAGCTACATAAAAGAGAGAAAAACGAGAGTAGCAAACTTACAAAAGAAATTAAGAAAAAATTAAGAGATCTTAGCGTGAATTATGCTAGAGGTGAAGGTGTCTTATTGACCGATAGTTCTTCTTCTGAAGAATCATCTGAAGCTAGTGGTAATATTTTATCACATCTTAAAATATATATAAAATATAATAATATTTATAGATATTGCAATATATAAAGGATTATTATATATTTACATAAGTATGTGATGATGATACAAAGTTAGAATAATTGATGTTATTCAATTTTACTTTAATATTTCTTTTTTTTTTTTAGATGATGAGGAAGAGATTGAGCATAACTGGGGAGAACTAGATAAAGAAGCAGAAACAACAGATGACATTACTTATAGATTAGCCATTTGTAATATGAATTGGGATGTAATACGTGCTGTTGACTTAATGATTCTGTTAAATTCTTTTTTACCCAGCGGTGGACTTCTTCGTTCAATTACAGTAATAATATACAATATATAAATATAGCATAAGTCATAAAAATACAATATTATGAAATATTGATCATTAGTATTATAGTAACATATGAGACACAACTTTTATATATTTCTATTTCATAATTTACATTGACTAGTGAAATGTTTTCAACAAAAATATTATATTAACGTCCTATTTTTGCAATTTACTAATCATAATTTCTTAATTCTAGATTTATCCTTCAGAATATGGTCAGCAGCGAATGAAGGAAGAAGAAGTCAATGGGCCAATGGAATTAAAAAATAGTGACACTGACAATGATGATGAAAATGAAGATGTATGAAATTACAATCTCTTTTATTGTTTAGAAATTTAAGATGCAATTTATTTTATCAATAGTTTCATAATCGAATTTTCCTTTTTTAGAATGAGGAAGGTGCAAAATATCATATGGAGAAATTGAGGCAATACCAATTAAATCGATTAAAATATTATTATGCTGTTGCTGAATTTGATTCTGCTGAGACAGCAAATAAAGTATATACGGAGTGTGATGGTATTGAATATGAATCTACTGCAAATAGACTGGATCTCAGATTCATACCAGATGATATGATATTTGATCAAGTATGTTCCATATAAAATCTAAAATATAAAAACTTTTAGACGCCATTTTTGTTTAGATAATATTCTCTTAGAAATTCGCAAATTTCAACTATAAAATGCTTATTAAAGGAACCCAAAGATACATGTAATGAGATACCTGAACCTGCCAAATATCAGCCAAGGCAGTTTACGACAACAGCATTGCAACAAGTTAAAGTTGACTTAACGTGGGACGATGTAGATCCAGACAGACAAGAATTTATAGAGAAAGCAAATTCAGGAAAACTGGAAGACATTGACGAAAACGATTTGCATAAGTATTTGGCGAGTGGTAGTGAAGACGACTCAGGTATAACATTATTATGTCGTAATATTTATTGAATCTATACATTAATACGTTGTTTTTAATATTTCAGATGCAGAAGAGAAGAAAGGCAACGTAGATAAAGAAGTCGACAATAATTTAGATTCGAATGTGAAAAATGATCCAATTGAAAAATACAAAGCTTTGTTGAGATCTATTGAAGAAGAAGAAGAAGAAGAGATGAAAAAGAAGCAAGATGTTGAATTGGAAGTCACCTGGGATGTAGGTGTAAAGGAAAAGGTCGACAACTTAAAAGAAAAAATGAAAGGCAATGAGGAACTCACGCCTTTCGAGCAATATTTGGAAAAGCGCAAAGTTAAAAAGAAAGCTAAGAGAGAAGAAAAAAAACATAAAAAAGAAAGTCAAAATAACGATTTAGAAGATTCCTTGCCGTTTGATATGAATGATGAGTACTTGGCAGAGGAATTGAAAAACGGCAAATCGTTATCTCGTAAAAAAAAGAAGAGAGACGGAGAAAATGACGATGTATCGAACAATGAGGAAGATAATCAACGTGAAGCCGAATTAGAGTTGCTCCTGATGGATGAAAACGAAGACAATGGTAAGAAGCATTTTAACATGAAGGAAATCGAAGAAAATGCCGCTCTTTCCAAATCCAAGCGAAAACGTCTCAGCAAGAAGAAGAAAAATGCACAGGAGAAAATGGAGGAAGATACTTTCGAAGTCGATGTTAAAGATCCTCGCTTCGGCGCTTTGTTCACATCGCATCATTATAATATTGATCCTGCGGATTCGCATTACAGAAAAACGAAGGGTACGGATGCTTTAGTCAATGAAAAGCTGAAGAGAAGAGCTGATAACATGGCGCATGTAGAGGACGTAAGTAAAATAACTAATATTGCGTGCATTCAGTATTATAACTGTTACTCATTTGATCAAGATTTAAAAGTACAAACCAATTAGATCAAAAAGCTTGCTGAACGTTTGAATGAATGATATTAGTATTGAATGATATTAGTGCATTTTCCCCTTATTGTGTTTAAAAACCTTACGTTTTAAATATTTAAAAAATACAGGGTGAGCAGTTCAAGAAGCCAAGAACAAATGAGGAGCTACCAACGGAATTGCAAGCATTGGTTAAATCCGTGAAAAGAAAAACACAAAATATCACACGATCGATAAAACGGTAATTCAATTGTTCAGTTCCGCATTAGTTATAAACGATTATTATTGTTATCTATATTGTACATAATACCCGATATAATAATTACCCGAAAAAGAATCAGGAGTATCGAGATACTAGATAGTACACCGATCATGCCTAACGGTACTTCCACAGCAGCGCTTGAGATCAATATTTCGGTCAAATACATGATTTTTTAATATTTAATTAAAATTCTCTGGGTGACTCACAAACCTTTTTAATGATACTTCATAACTCTTTATACGAAAGAATAGTTATCCAACCGGAGTTTTTTTCCGATCAAATACATACAAATTCCGCGCTCCGCTATTCCGATGCATGGATTTGCAACCTTATGGAGGATTCACACCGCGTCCGATGTCTGAAACGAATTTTATTGTAAACGAACCTAAATCCAAAGTATAGTTCTAGAATGTCCGCTACGAGCCGCCACTTTCAGGAGCGTTTTTCAGGAGAGTCTATGGTAAGCTAATAATTAAATCATATGTCTGCTTTGTTTTTCCTTCAAATTAAACAAAGGCAAACATATGATTTAACTGTTAACTTGCCAAAAAAAAAATTGAGAAAGTTGGCTTTTAGTGTGTGCGGTACGCTCAGTTGGGTAGAAAAAAAAAGTAACCAATTCTTACTATAACGTAATAAAAAACTGTAATATTAATAATTTAAACTTTAAAGACTAGAATACTTTTTGAATCATCTCATTATTATTATTTTTGCCGAAATTACAACTCGTTGAATCTCGCATTTTTATTCAAGCTAATTTATTTTAAACAAACAATTTTTAAAATTTTTACATGTATGTAATAACATATTTGTATTATACTATATGTATTTATTTTACTTATATCTTTACTAATATTTAAAAGAGAAAGACCGCTGCTTCAATTGTAGGTATTGCGATAAATTGCTACCTTAAATATCGTTGCACTTTGAAAAGGAGCAACGACACTGACGTCATTTCTACGAAAAAGAACGCTTTAGTGTAACACCTTCCGCGCGTTGGTACAAAAAGTTTGGCTGAAAAGAGAACGAATCTATTCATCAAAGATATAAAAAAAAAGGGAAAAATACAAATCTGCATAAAAAATAGCGAAGAGGATAGATAGAAGAAACATGTAAAAAGAGAAAAACATTTTATCATATTTTGGAATGTAATAAGTTAACCCCAACTAGGGGAATTTCATCTGCGTCAGTTATAATGCCGATTCGCGAGTTCAGAGAAAGAGAGAAGAGGCGTTGATTTGGCTAAGTATAATTTTGAAAACTGTAAAGTGCACTCACTCGTGCGCGTATCGATCCCGTTTGCTACAAAGTTGGACTGCTTCGTCTAGCTTCGGCTATATCGCGCGCATATTTGTGCATTCTGTGCAACTCGGCGTGCTGGCATGTATAGACGGGGGATGGCGTTGGTTATGTCGGGTGAAAACAAATAAACCACCAATGTGAGCGGTAAGTGGAGATTGTCGGAAATATCAGAGATATTTCCTTCTTTGCGTCGTCGATGAATGAGCGCACTCGTATTTAATCCCAGAGTGTGCAAAAATATAACGCGATCGAAAAGGATAGATCTACTTCAGAAATTTATGTATTTACGGTACATTTCCAGGAAAAGCTCTAAGTCGAGACTGCCTGGAATGTTCTATCTGTTCGCACTCAATTGAAGAAACCAAATAAATAAATGTACGACGGTGGTGGTGAGGGCGGCAGACACAACGTCCCCCGCACAGAACTTCTGAACAATGTCTGAGGACTCTAAAATGGGCCTGTTTGGCTCAAAGGATAGAAATCAAGAGCAGAAAGAAAAATCTTCCAAGGATAATTCACCGACCCATTATGCCCCTTACTGCATTGACAGCGACACAGAGACATATGACACTGAAGCATTGAGTGTGATGGACATCAATGATATCATCGGTGTGCAATCTGGTGAACAAGTTAGCGATTCAACACTGGAAAGCGAAATCGCTGCACTTTCACAGATCATCACAGACTCCAAGGTAGAATCGTCTCATCAATCAACAGATTGCAGGAAAGATACACAGGAAAATTCACCTAATGCACTTAGCCCCACATCTGATATTATTTGTCCAGCAACTGATAATTCAAGTATCGTTACAAGTATTGTCAATACCAGTGAGCCTAGTGTTATAACCAAGGAACGTATTATAGCCAGTACTCTTGAGGATCAAGAAGACACAACTGTTCCTGTGCATAACAGTGTAATACATAAGGAATCATCTTCAATTACTACAAGTGAGAGTATTTCCAACAGCACAGAACTAGATTCTGTTAAATATAGTGAAGCCTCTGATATAGATGCAATTGATAAATCTGATAAAGATACAATTGATGATGCGGCTTGCGTGTTGTCTTCCAATGATAAGCCATGTATTGAGACTGATTTATCCACTGCTGTGTTAGCTGATACTGTTCAAGATATTGTTCAAAGTAAGCAACAGTTAAATGCAACTTCTTCCATGGATTATAAGGAAGATATAGCTGAAAGGATAAAGAGCAGATTTATCGACGATGTAGTTGAAAGCCAAGACAAAGTGTCAGAATCCAAAAGTGAGGCAAAGCCTGTAATAACGACTGGTAGTATTAGCAAAAGTTTGCAATTGATAGGAGAGATATATGTATCAGAGGATTCTGAAGAAACTAGCGTGCATGGCAATGACTCTCCAAAAGACTCCTCATCTTTTTCTACTTCTAGAGCTCTATCATTTGATATTGCCGCGATACACCGAAATAAGGATAACTCTGAAGCAACTGACACGTCAAATACAGCAAATGTAAAAAAATCTTTGGAATCAAGTGATGGTGTCGATACGCCTGTTTCAGAGAAATCGAGCATCGAAATAGAAGATCTCGTTAGTAAAGAAACGGAAGATTTAAACGTAAAAATTAAAGATTCAGAAGATTCCAGTCAAACTGAAATATTACAGCAAAACAACTCGACATTCGAAGAAAAAGCAGAAGCAGAAGCAGAAGCAAAGTATAACGATGGCGAGGTATCGAGTGACGCGCATGAGCAAACGGAAAGTAATGCAGAAGTGAATAAGACGAGCATAATTAAAGAAGAATCGTCGGAACATCAGTCCCCCAGCGAAGCCTGTGCAGAAGCGACGAATGCATCTGTAGAAATATCTACTACGTCGCCTGAGGAAGCAACGCAAGATATAGAAAGAAATCAAGAAAGTAAAGTTGAAAATATCGAATCGGAATCAAACATATTGACGTTTGTTCCTGAAACAAAGGAGGATAATTCCGTGGCTCTTGATGGAAATGAATTATCAGATACGAGGGAGGTAAACGATAATTGTTCTGTCCTTGACAATAATACCAAAGAGCTCATAGAAGATGTGTCCACGTGCGAAAATAAAAATACTCCTTTAGAATCTGCAGATGATACTCAAAATACTACGCCAATTGAGGTGTCCGATGAGCAATCGTGTACGTCAGAAGTGATATGTAAAAGCAGTTTGTTTCAAGAATCCGACACTGCTGTGGAAAACTCTCTAACAACTCCAGAAACCGTTTCAACAGAGACAGCTGTCACGGAGGTAGATCTCGAGACGGCTGCTGTGATCGATGATAATCGAGATAACTTAAGCTTGGACGTCGATACGGAGAAAATACTTTCGTTAACGAACGACAGTGCATCCGAAGTTATATCAGGCGCAAGTAAGGACGAATCAGACTTGGAGGAAAACACGGTATTGGCTCATGAAACTATCGAGGAAAAGGAGATTGACGCTATAAGTAATAAACAATCTATAAGTAGTCATTCGTCGCATGAGCCAAGCTGTACTATAGATTCACATCCCGCGGATTCGTTAACACAAAGTGACGCAAATACAACGCTTACCAATACTAATGTTTCTAAGGACACAACAATTTGCACGGAAAAAAATACCTATGCTGAACCATTAGCCCCCGTGGAATGTCACGAGTCTGTTGAACAACTTCCGTCTGTATCAGAAAAGTTAGAAGTCTGTGAAATTAACGATGCTAGTTCTGAAAATCTACCCGGAGATCTCGCTCCTGTATCTGATGAAACGAGCAATGCGATCGAGAATATAGACATACCGTTATTTGAAGCTGAGAAGATAGAAGATTCGGAAGTGAAACCGGAGACGTCGCCGGACGTGAGTAAAAACAAAATATCGCCTATGGAGGAGATATCTGTGGAAGAAGTATCTCTTGTAAAAGAGATATCTCCTGTAAAAAAGATATCTCCTGTAAAAGAAATATCTCTTGTGGAAGAAATATCACCTGTGAAAGAAATATCACCTGTGGAAGAAATATCTCCTGTGGAAGAAACAGCTGCGAAGGAGATATCTCCTGTAGAAGATATATCTTCTCCACAGCAAACGCTTTATCAGTCTGAATTACGCGTGCAAAGTGAAGAAATTGATTCTTCCTCCGCACCAATGGAAAGTAAATCAACTGAGGAAAATATTATTCCCCCTAACGTATCATCAGAGAGAGATACAAGCCCGCCATTGGTTGATAATTCGGCGGTTGTAGAAGATAATGTATCGAGTTCTTTTGGTAGTGCATTGCAAAGAAAAAATAAAACTGAGAAGAATATCGCTGTTGAAATTCCTTTAAACAAAGAAGTCGAAAAAGCAGAGATTATATTGTGCGCAAATGAAGAAAAAGTGGAAGCTGAAGAACATACCCAGAAAGAAGAAGAAGCTCTTGATACAAATCTTTTGGAATTGAAAACTTCCGATGTCCAAATGATAAGCACTCAAGATGGGAACTTACATGATAATGAAGAAATACACAATGAAACTACGCCAGTAGTCGAGGAAGAAAAGAAAAAACCAACCAATGTTGATGTAGCGTTAATGAACGAAGAGAAAAATATGGAAGCTGAAGAATCTGTCGACGCTAACGTAGAGGACGCCCAGTCGAGCGACATTAGCCTTCCTATATTACAGGAAAGTTCGGAGAGAACAATCGAGGCGGATAACGAAGCACAAGATACTGACTCGAAAAATGATCTCAAAGAAGATGAAAGTATTTCGGACAACGTGAGTGGCGTCGTGGAAATGTTGGCTGAAGTACAAGCTTCGAGAGACGCGACAGACACGTTAACAAGTATGCTGAATAGTGCCAATGATGGAACGAATATCAAGAGTATGATGGAAGACGAAGGAAATGCGGAAGAAGCTGAAGCGAACGCGTTACAAGTTTCAACGGATTTGTCGTTAGAAGCGAATATCGAAAAGTTAGCTGAGAAACTGTCTCAAGATTCGGTATGTATGGACGATACGATCGCCACGCAGAATATGGACTCTCTGGAGGGACTTTTGGATCTTGATCTTATATCTGACGAGAATCCGTCGTTGAAGGACGCGAAGATTGAGGACAAGACCTCGGGAGAGACAGTAAGTAGGATAGTCGATATGGATCTTTTATTGGATCAAACGAATCAAAGCGAGACGAGCTTGACGCAAAACTCAGTGAATATGATCACCAGCTTAACGAGCAGAGACGAAGAAACGAGCGAAGCAACGGTTGAGCAGTTGATTAACGACCGAATTACTGAGAATGAAGCCAGTGAGTCGTTAAAGATGGACGGAGATATGAATGCGAAGCTGGCGAGCGAGAGCGCGGATGCTGAAAAGATGGAGGAACCTCTCAGGACGGACGGTAATTCAGAACCGAACGATTTAGACGTGGAGTTCGGAGATAACCGGCTGGAGTCGGTAGGTGATCTGGAGGAAGCCGAGGGCAAGCTGGAGTTGCCGCAAGATATGCTGTTGGAAAGTGTAGTGACTCAAGAGAATCTTGCCGATATGCCAACCGTCATCGAGAACTCGCAATCAAGCTCGGAGATCTCCGAATTGGAGTCCGCGGTAAAGTTTCTGCAGGAGTCCGAGGAGCAAACGATAGACTCGCCATTGGTGCTCTCGCCGAAGATGGTGGAGAGCGTCGTCGAGGATATCGCGAAGCAGGCCGACGCAGAGCTTTACGCGATGCCCGACGAAGCGGACAACTACACAGCCGCCGAATCCGAGTTGGCGTCACGTATTTCCATCTCTATCTCAGAAGCTGAGATCATATCGGAGGCCACGAAGCTGGAGAACGAGCGGAAGTTCGCGGCGCAGATACAAAATGCTGCCGGTGGCGACATGGTAGCAAAGCCGGTGGCAAAGAAGGACACCGAGAAAGCGGAGGAGGTAAGCGAAAAGGCCGAAGAAACGCCCGAAGAGACGGAGAATCAGACGTGTGCAAAGTCTCCCGTCGACCCTGCTCCCGTCGCGACTGATTCTCTAAATGTACAAGCGATGGAGGACTCACACGAGAGGAAAGAAGACATACCTAACATCAGGCCATTGTCGAATGAATGTATCTTAAAGGCGTGCGACCTCATTCCACGAGTGTCGATATTGGAAGAGCGGTTGAAGGAACCTCCCAAAATCGAGATACCCGTCCCCGACTCGACTAAGGTATTGGAGTCCATTATCAGTCCAAATGACAGTCTCCTCATACCAAAGGACTCCAGAGCCATGATGTATTCGAAGATGCTGGAATCGCCGAAGTCGGATAAGACCATTTCTGCGGAGTCGAAAAGCGTTGACACACCGCGCAAGGACTCCGAGAAGCACGACTTCGAGAACGTGGGCTCACCGCGGATAATCCTGAAGATCGCTAAGTCCGCGATCGCAGATTGCAGCGAGCCGCGGTCGCCGAAGAGCCCGAAAATTCGATCGGCCGCAAACTCGCCAAATCCGGAGGACAGTCCGGGTCAAAAGTTAGGTAAGATCAAACTGAAACTGTCGAAGGGCGGCCATCCCTCCATCATATCGAACGAGAACCTGGAAGAGATCGGTCAGTGGCACACCGATAGCATGTCGTCGTCGTTGTCCCCCATCGGTATGAAGATCAAACTGTCGAAGAGCGGAGACGCGTCCATCGTAGGTGCGACGACGGAGAGGCACGAGAGTAGTAATCTGGAGGATTCCAAAGAGACGACCAAGTACAAGTTTGAGGAGCCTAAGAGAACAGACTCGCCTATCGGCATGAAGATCAAGCTGTCCAAGTCCGGCGACTCGGCGTCGATCGTGCAGCAGGATACCAAGGAGATTCTCGGCAAGCATAAGGATAAACTGGAGATACCGCAAGGGAGTCCGAAGAGGACGGAGTCGCCGATCGGTATGAAGATCAAGCTCTCTAAGACCGGCGACGCTTCTATCATCCAGAGCGACTGGCAAGAAAATACGGAAGAACATAGGGAGGCCGCGCCGAAGCGCACCGACTCTCCGATCGGCATGAAGATCAAGTTGTCGAAGACTGGCGACGCATCTATCGTATCTCCGTCGGACCACGTCGCGGACGACGCAAAGGACTCGTCCACGAAAGCGAAGGAGAAACAGGACTATTCCGCTGAGCTGCCACAGAAAAGGACAGAGTCTCCGATCGGCATGAAGATAAAGCTGACCAAAGGTAAAGGAGGTGCAGCGTCCATCATTTCCGTGGACAACATCGAGGACACAAGGGACAAGCTCGAGATCCCCGAGCCACCCAAGCGCACGGAATCGCCGCTCGGTATGAAGATCAAGCTGTCGAAGAGCGGCGACGCATCTATCATACATTCTGAAGTCTCAGACGACATCAAAGAGACGAAGCACCGGGAGAAAGCCGAGGTAGCCGCGCAGGACATGGCGAAACCGACAGAGTCCACGGGAATTAAGATCAAAGTGACGAAGACGGGTGACACGTCGACATCGACTATATTACCAGACGTGATGGAGGAGCAGAACGCGCCCCAGAATTCCGAGTCCACCTTCGTCGGCAAGAAAATCAAAGTGTCTAAGTCGGGAGACGCGTCAGTAGTGAGTTGTTCCGGTAAGATAGAACAAGCGGAAGACTCAAGGCCGCGAGAAGCACCGGCAGAGGCGCCTAAGAGAACAGAATCTCCGCTCGGCATGAAGATCAAACTGTCCAAGACCGGCGACGCTTCCATCGTACAGAGCGAGGCCACCGCCGCCGCTTTCAGCGAGGATCAGAACAGGACGACGCGCATATCCGACGGGGAGCACGCCAAGAGCGATTCGTCGTCGAGCCTCGGCATGAAAATCAAGCTCTTCAAGACAGGCGACGCCTCGGTAGTGACCGAGACCGAGGTAGGCAGGAAAGATAAGCAGCAGAGACGCAACAAGGAGGTCTCCGAGTCGCCATTGGAAATGAAGATCAAGCTGTCCAAGACCGGTCATCCCACCATCGTGACGTGCGACAGTCACGAGACTCAAGGATCCTCCGCGCACAAGACCGCCAAAGAGTCTCCGACTACGGCTTCACCGGATCCTGCACTCGCGTCTTTCTCCCATAGATACGCGGAACACCACGCTCCGCACGTGGTTCACGCCAAAGATACTCCTCCGTTGAAGATCATCAAAGTCAGTAGCGGAAACAGCAACCAGTCTATCCTGCAGAGCGGCCGATCGGAGCTCACCATCGAACCGGTGATGCCGATGCAAATGCAGAGTAGAAAGGCGATGGATAACACGCTCGAGATGTCATCTAAGCGCAAGGACATCACGATCTCGCCGATCGAGAACAAGAAGTCGAAGCTGGAGGCGCAACTGTCGCAGATATTGCCGGAAGTCACTATTCAGCCGGTGATATGCCGGGACCAACAGAAGCAGCAGCAACAACAACAGCATCAGCAGCAACTGTTGTTTGATCCGAAGACCAGCCTAATCAGTCGGCAGCAGATGAACGTGATCAGTCAGGAGATCAGCATCACGCAGGTGCGACCTACGAAATCATCGTCGGACGTCTCGTCCATGGGTGACAAGCTCAAGGACATTCTGAGCAAAAACACGACCAGCTCACCGGTCGGATCGGATTGCGAGATTATCGAGCATCGACCCGAGCTGATAATCGTCAACGAGAACTCCAATTCCAGTCAAGATGTCGTAATAATTGAGGAGGTGCCGCCCAACAGAATGACCGACATCAAAGTGCCGAAGAAGAGGGGTAGACCCCGAAGAAATCCTCTGGCGCAGTCGTCCTCGCAAATGCTGATACCCAGGGATCCCTTGTCCCTGGACGAGATACAGCCAGTTCCACAAGTCGAACACCGAGAGAACGAGAGACCCAAGAGGACATGCAGGAGTCAAAAGAGTTACGCCCCGCCTAAGAGAGGCAGAGGAGGACGAGGTTTGTTTCCTTCTCGATTAATTTACCTTACGCATGCATATTTGGTCAGGTGGTGTTATCTCAATACTTTAATTCCTCCTTCGTTGTGTCTCTAGGTCGTGGTAAACGGAAATTGGATAACGTAGACGTTCCGCCTAGCAAGAAGCCTCGAATAGATCAGGATCTATCTTCTATAGAATCTTCGACGATGGCTGTCATCACTATTGATGAGACACCATCGTCAGAGGATACACTTCGGAAATCATCGGAATTATACAAGGCGCTGAAACAACCGCCTATAGATATCAAAGGCATGACCACCGTGCCTGGTAAAGGGAAGAAGGAATCAAAGGTCGCGGAAGTCTCCACAATTGCGACACAGTTGGATTCCAGCAGATTGTCGTGCAACATTATATTGGATAATTTGCCAAAACCGTCCACTAGTCGAGCGGCCATAGGCACCACAACGCCGTTGGACTCGAAAGACAGCGAACTGCACAAAAAACCGAGTGTAGAGAGCGTCGTTTCCGAAAAAATGCAGAAGATAACGGCAAATAAAGGTAGGATATCGTCGGACGGTTCGAGGACGTCCGAAATTAAAGAGATACCCACATTACCCGGACCCTCGAGCTGGTTGACACCGACGTCGAAGAAGCAAGTGGACGCGGTCGTCAAAAGCGGCGAAACGGTGTCGATGGTGCAAGTAATCGACGAGGAGACGAGGATGAGTGCTGAGTCCGGCTCCAGGTCACAGACACCGGCTAGGAATATACCAGTACCTGGTATGTATTCTCTCACATTAACATCAAATACTTTATAAATAGAAATTATATAATGCTAGAATATTATAAAATATTATGTACAATATAAATAATGATAATGGCATTAATTTTATGTCATTATTTATATTGTGTTTTAATGATAGGATAAATATCATTCGTTTTAAATATTCCACGTACACGTATAATATACGAGCATTCTGCTAATAGATATTTCAATGTAATTCCAGGTCAATATCCAAAATTAACGATGTTTGTTCGTAAAAAGAAATAACACTAGCATTGTCATGAGTTTAAGTAAACTTATTTTTATTCTCATCATCGAACAGCTGAGCTGGTAGACTTATTGGTACACATCCAACTCTCTAAGGGAACTAAAAATAGATCTTTTCTTGTGGCATGAGATGTCTCGCAAGTGACTTAATACGAAATTGTTGCAATGACGTGCTCAAATGCGAGGCGATTGCACATCGATTCTTATATTTGCGATATGTGTCGCGATTATGCTGTTCTTAGCAGCTCTGAAAACGCTCATACTAATTCGCATATCGTCTATATAAAAATGTACTAACGGCACAAGTTTCTATGTGATATTTGAGAATAAGTGTGTACTATGTATCGTTACGGTGTAGTATACCTTTATACTAAAGTTTCCCCGGTAAATATTTGTCGCACTTAAAATTCAGTGAATATGGATCAACAGAGAATAATGAAAAATTATCAAGAATATGATAATTTAGGTAACTTACTAACAACGCCAATGAAGTACGAATTCTTTCCTGTTTTTCATAAATGTAATAATTTTAATATGAAAGAATACATGCAGCCACGCACACAACAGATCATCTATTTATCGTATTAAATAAACTTAAAATATTTCTAACTTTTGTACGCTAATTAACAAAAACTCATATAAAAGACGATATATATATCGATTATATATGTTTAGAAATTAATTTTTGGCGATTGGTGTTACAGTTTCGGAGACAACGATAAATGAAGAATCTCAAGGTAGTGTCCTGAGCACTGCCACAACAGAATCTGAAAAAGTCAAAGTCAAAAATCGGAGAATGGAGATAAATTTTGATCCCGACGAAGGACCTTTCACTGTTGATAAAATAGCAGAGTACGAGTGGCCGTTGGATAGAAAAGGCGACACTTTCATGATACAGGAGCAGATATCTCAATATCTCGGCGTGAAATCTTTCAAGCGTAAATATCCCGATCTGAAACGCAGGATGGTCGATATGGAGGAGAGAAATTATTTGAGAGAAAATGCATTGGTCAGCGAAGCAATGTGTGATATGGGTAAAGTTCATCGTTTTTTCTATGTTTTTAAAAGAGAATATAACTTCGGTCGTGTATGAACATTACTTTACTTAATTATACATTTACCTTATCATTCGCCGTATTATTGCAGGATTAACTGCAGTGTGCAGTTCAGAAGTGTTGGACGTGATGTGCAGCGACTTTCCGGATCAGTACGAGGAATATCGTAAGCATATGCGCGAGAAACAGGCCAAGGAACATTCCAAGAAGCAGAAGGAACTAACAGCTGCAGCAAACGCGGAAAGGAATAGGATAGATCTCGCGGAAATGGCAGTGCAGTCCGCGATGACGTGGAACGCTAGCTTGAACAAAGCTCGCAAGGAAAGCCGCAAGTATTGTTTAGATCTGCAGACTTTTACGATTCACGTGCCAAAGAAGCCACAAAAAATTGAAACGGAAAATAAAACGAGTCATTATCCGGTTGCGTTGATACCGGGCCAGTATACCGATTATTATCGGGAATACACGTCAGCGGAATTGAGATACTATCCCCTCAACACTGTCCTGTACGGGCCTACGCGGCCTAACGAACGTAAACTCGATAGTCAGTCCGAAGGTTCTCAAAGCGACAGCGATAGCGAATCATCTTCTGACGACTCTAGGTTGGTAGCAATATCATCAAACTTTGCAAACCTCTTTAAATCAATTTGGAGTTAATTTCCTTTATGTTGAAACATAAAATTTCTGAAATATTAGGCGGCCGAGAATTAAGTTTAGGATTTTTAGTTTGGAATTTCTTTAATTTTAATTCGCTAGGATGCAATAATTTTTAAAATATAGATTATTTTATTGAATACAGTTCATCGTCCAGTGAAGGTACACAGGATACAGAAGGATCTCAGTCGACTATGGACGATGTCGACATGGAAATAGTCACTCAGAAAGACGACGTAAAGTTGAAATGCAAAATGTGTCTGAAAGTTCTGAATAAACATAATAAAAATGAAATATTAATACAGTGCGGCACTTGCAACGGAAACGGTAAAAATCGCACGTTGCATGTAAATACTTTTTTTTCCTCAAACCAATCAAAATAATTTGCTGTATGGTGATATTGTACTTTCAGTTCATCCATCCTGTATAGATTTAACTCTGGATATGGTCCCTCATATTCAATCATACGCTTGGCAATGTACTGATTGTAAAACGTGTGCGCAATGTCACGATCCTGCGGATGAAGACAAGATGCTCTTCTGTGATATGTGCGATCGAGGGTAAGTTACACGCGCGTTATATTTTTCACATGGAATTTGATAAATTGATAAATGTAACTCCGATCAATTGAACGAAAGTTTCGATATAGTATAATCTAATCCTGTATGATTTTCAGGTACCACATCTATTGCGTCGGCTTGCGACGTGTACCACAAGGGAGATGGCATTGTCAGGAATGTGCTGTTTGTGCAAATTGCAGCTCGAGGGAGCCCGGCGGTGCGAACTCTGACAGGAACAGCGTCGCGCAGTGGCAACACGAGTATAAGAAAGGCGAGAAAAATACTCGAGTGTATGTCTCTACATTCTGTGTTCCATGTTCGAAGTGAGTACACCTCTCGACATTATCATTCACCTCACATACGCTGAAACATGGTTGTTTTGAACTATGCTGAGCTTCAGTTGCTTAAAGATTTTCATCGCTCTTACACTGTAACACTTTATCTACATCCTGTTTTGTCTTTAATTATAGATCTCAACATTTGTTTTTGTCTCTATCTTATCATTTAGCTATCAGTTAATGTTATTATTAATTAAGATTTATTTGCGGCAGCAAATTCGATCAAATTAAATATTTTAATTTACCTATAATTAATGTATATTATATAATTGGAACACATAAATTTATTAATACACTTTTTTTAGTTAAATACGTAACATTACTGTATATAAAGTGTCTCGAATCTACAATGTTATTCTGAAAAAAGGTTCTAAGACACTATATATTTATAGCTAAATGACACATGAGTAGTGTATTATTGTGTGAAATACCTTTAACTCCTTCTGCCGCGTGCTAAGCACCGCTATAATTCTATAATATTCCTTTTTTACCTGAATTCACTAACCACATGATCTTTATGCAATAACAAGGCTGTGGCGAAAGGGTCGCTATTGCCCACACTGCAGTCGCTGTCATACCGCCCAAAGGCTCGACCTGGAACCGAATCTAGTGCATTGCAGCGCATGTGACAAGTATCTGCACTTAGGTATCGACACCAAATCTCATATGACTCTGTTAATTAATCGCGATAGAAGCAGAAGAGCTAATTAAAGCCTGAGCGTGTGAATTTTTATAATAACTATGATTCATATTAATAGTCATGATTTGGAACTTGTCTCACGTAAGATACTCCGATCTGAATGTAGAGTTAGATCTAAGTTTTTCAATAGAATCATCATGATACATCATTTGATATAATCTATAATCGCGACTCAACTGAGAAACTCAGATCTAACTGTATACTCATATCTGTGTACCTCTGTATGTGAGACACAGTTTTAATGGCCATTAATATAGATACGTATCGTTGAAAAATACACACGAATGCGCGTAAAATGATACGCCAAAATAGCTCTTTGTGATGAGTAATTTTACAAACAGATTTATGTATGAAAGTAGGAAACATTTGATCTTCAGTATTCCCCTCATAAGCTATCCAAAGTGGATCTTGCAATAACTTGAAAAAGAGATCGCACTTTCCAACATTACTTTTAATTATTGTACATGTTTACGTGTCTAGACAGCTACGCTTGGACTATAATTGGCCTTTCGCGTCTTATTGTGATTTTAGATCAAAGAGCTTCTCTTCATTTACTCTATTTTCTTAATTAACACTTGGAGCATCGCGTGCACACGGATCCATGTCAGTGGAGGATACACGCATACATGCACATACATACACATACATGGATCCATATATATTAGCGCGCTTATATTTTAAAAAACGTCTTATCATTGCACGAATCTGTGCATAATTAGCTTTGATTAATAAGACTTATCATTAGAAGCTGAGCACACAGATTCATATAGTAGTTTTCATGTAATAATTTAGTGTCTTTCTCCTTTATTTCTTAATTAGAAATTATGCTACTATGAAGTACAATTTCTAATTGTATTTCATAGCAAAACTTGAAATTATACTACAAGAAATTGTAATACTATGTATTTACGGATACTTTATCGTACAATTTTCTTGATGCTTAAAGTGTCTTCATTGCATGTTGTGATGTAAGAGCATTTGCATTGAATTTTATTTGATCATTGCTATCTTAGAGACCATATCTGAATGATTTACTATCTAATACACATTGATTTACTGCCTGTATGTACTGGCATTTTTCGTCTTTTTGCTTCCTCTGCAATGTAAGAATTATAAATTTTAATAAAATCCATGGTAAAGAGATATCTAAGTAAAAAGTTTAAAAAAATAATTCCACCATGGTAATTTGTTTTCGCGATAGCATGTCCATGATTTAAGTTTATTTCTAAAGTTATTTTGAATCGAGAATTTTGTTCAAACAAAGTAGAATGTATCCAGAATCTGGATTGAATGTTTTATAATGTAATAGATATATATTTGTAGTGAACACGTGTGAATATAAATTCAAAATTAATCATTTTTATTCTTCAGCATTAAAAATTCTTGTGGAAATTCTTGTGAAACCTTATTAGGCACACAATTGTATTGTAATAATATGTGTATTTTTTCAGATTGCGTGGAGACCAAGGGAATAGCGTTTGATAAAAAAAGTTATCTGTGTGATTTCTGTACACCGTCGAATCGTCAGCAAGTGGCAAAGCCCATATCACCGAAGATACTCAAAACGTGAATTATCATTGAATAACGTATCACTATGCGTAGAAATGGGGAGACCATTGAAAATTGTATAATAATTATATTAGTGAAATGTAATTATATTATATTAAGCACTATATATAGCGCATTTTTATCGGACGATTATATTTACAAATGAGAGTGCACATGAGATTTTCTCCTTGAGTACTTCATGTGAACGTGTCGTGCTGTACATATTTACAATATCAATAATTTAACTCGTAAAACTAAATTTTTACCATGTGTACCTTTGAGTCAAATATCGCGAATAGTCGTATAAAGGAAAGGGTAAAAAAATCAGCTTTGGCTGCAGATGAGTGTCATGAAACTCTTACAAAGTGGAATATATAAAATGTACGAAAGTAATACACATTTGACTATTAATTCTTTTGCAAATTTGAAGTTGATTTTTGTATACCATACCATAATGTGTATTGATGAAGCATACAATTTTCTTTATAGTACTTTGACGTACATTACATGATGTAACATTATACAAACATATAATGTTACAACACCAAATCAAAATCTTTATTGTTTAAAATAAATAAGTGATTTAGAAAATCACTATGCGTAGGATAGTTTGTGTTTTAAGGAGTTATGATTTTATATTTCATTTAATGGTACTAACAGAATGAAAATGACCTTTTATGCAACATATCTGATTTGCGAGCCTTGCAAACGCAGAAAAAAAAACGAATAATTCTTTTTTACTGTTTATATTCTGCAATGTATAAAGAAAATATTATCGTTATAAAGACTAAAATTTTTTTTTCGATTACCGGTTTTATTTGCGTTCCTTGCTTCGCATTACTAGCTCTAATATTTCTGGAAAGAGATGCCACATGCGTATACAATTTAGAAGGAAAACTAATAAAATACGAGACCAGTCGCAGTTTTCTTAAAAATATATATCACTTTCTTTATTCTCTTCTTTTACGACATAATCCTCGGATTAGTGCTTTTGTTGCGAGAGTTAGATGCGGATAAACATTCTCTTCTTTTTTTCCCTGTTTTTACATACGTATCGTAACGCAGTATCCACATTTTGAACAGTGCGCTCCATTCTCTTTCACGCATACATACATTCACACACACACATTCGAGACGCACGCGAGATACACTCTTTTTTTTTTTTCTTTCTCTTCGTGTCAATCAATTTTTTCGCTGGAGATCGATTATAATATATTTAGATCGTGTTAGATTATGTTGCATTATGTACACACAGGATAACGACGGCAATTGCGACCGTTAAAAAAATGAGCAAGTTGTTGCAAAATATAAACTTTGGCATGTCGTTGCATCAACCTTGTATATCAGTGTCAAAGTAGTCTCATTAATTTGCACTGTAACGCGCCTATACAGAATACCTCTTTAAAGCAATGACATACGCGCAAAGAGTGCGGAGTGGCCGCGCAGCATCTCGCTAAGTGAAATACGTGGCTTTTGCAGATTTTTCCCTTGTTTTTTATATATATATTTTTTTTTGCTATAAATCGCAACGCTGTTTCTCTCTCGGCCAAGAATCGGTCGGCGATACACGATCAATGATCGTAGGTTGCCAGTGACGTAATCGCGAGAACGAAAAACCTCGTCAAGAGGAAGAACGTGATGCATACTCCTTGTGTATATCGTGTTGCATTGTATTGTAATTAAAAAGCACATGTTTTGCTATAAACGCTCACGTATTACATCTCAATTTCTTCCTCTCGACGCACATCTACGACGTACATCTACATCCCTCCCCTGTTCTTTTCCTCTTTCTTTTCGTCTCTCTCTCTTAAAATTCATGTTAAACGTCGAGTGCTGCTAATAAAGTGACCGTGCGCGATTCGACTTGCTCGGAGAAACGTCACACACACAATTATAACACTCCTCCGCACGTGATTACAACATTGTTAAAGTAAAACATACTTTGAGCAAAGAAATAAAGATAAAACAAAACGAAACGTAGCGTAACAGCAGTACGAGTCGTACATACGTACGACGTGCGCACGTACGTGAATTCTTTCACTAACGTGCAATCGCGTTGTTGAAGAGCACTTACGCACTATAACAGGACGGGTTCATAGTTCAGAATTGCACTTGACCCGCCATTGACTAGTAGTCGGTATACAAGCTAATATAAGAGTCCGTTCTTTCCAGCTGCACTACTTCTAATTCTTTCTACGTATCTATGAAAAACACGTGTAATCCCCAGAATGAAAACGAGAAGAATTACGAAAAGTTAGAGTACAGCTGAAAGGAACAGCGACGTAACTATGTTATCGAGAAGTGTGTCGAGCGAACAGTAAAAAGTATTCCGTACTTTCTTGTCAACAATATTTGCCGGTATTTCAGAATATCAAAAAATATTCCTCTTGATAATTAAACGAGAAGCAGTAGATAGATACAGTTCTGTTATACATTGTGTGAGAGTGTGATTTATAGATATATTCTATAGATACATAGATATAATTATAGATAAAATCATTGTCATTATATTATTCCAGATAAAATCACCGAAGTATATGATATACTACAGAATACAATGGGTAATACATAGACTAACGATTTTATAGAAACGCAACCAGAATCGATAGTCACCAAATCCTGTAGAAATTTTGGTTTTCGATTCTTTGCCTCATAATATCATTTAAAATTTTCGCCATTTTTATTTCTTTCTCTTTTTGAACTAATATAAAGATAAAAGAATTACTAACAAATATCATGTCAATACGGAATACTGCTACTGCCACGTCAAGATCGTCAACTCACGCACGAAACGTGAGTAAATACTCAGATACCGATACATAAAGCGAAATAGCATCGAGAACAGCGAGCCGTTTCGACCACGACCGAGTTTCTTATTATGCGCACATAGGAAAAATTAATGGTGCGTATTTTGGTGCCGTTGTAACGCTGTTTTTTTTTTCACCATTCTTCGTCGCAATCCAATCACGTCGAACTAATCGAACAGCGGTGACTGTGACGAGGGTGAGTAGTGGGCAGAGTCGTGGATTTAAAAAGGACATGTCCAAAATGTCGATCTTTCAATTCTTTGTTCACACGACCAATGCTACATTTATAATACTTTCTCAAGTATTCTACAAGATAAAGCCGTAAAAGCTCCCAATCTCTATCGCACAATGATCCAAATACCGCTCAATATTTCCAAAGCGTGTATTAAATTCGTTATTTTTTCTCCCACTGAGTTCTCGACTATCGTAACTTCGCAACATGAAAATCTGTTTTTAAGTTTCTTGTGTTTTTAGAAGAATACAGACTATATAGTCTGTATTCTCCTAAAATATAAATAAAATAAAGTATATATCGAACGTTCTTTGAATCAACAAATGATAATATATATTACAGAAAACAGCATTTTGCTCGTTTTTTCTCAGTTACCGCTTCGATCAGTTCGAGTGACGGAAACAAATCGCCGAGAATATCTCAGATTCAAATCCCTGTGCGACTTTATCCTAAATGCGCGCTTCAATCCTGACGAATAATTGACAATGTAAAAAACAATTTGAGTATTTACTCGTGTCTAATACCGCATATAGACAAGAAAGTGTTGAAATTGTGTAAGTGAGTAGCCGGTACAATAGTAATCACTAGATTCGCTGTAGAAAACTTCGACAACACACTGTGGACGAGGTTCGGGCCCGGTGAGCTGCCGACCTTGTAAAATATTCGCAGGTTACACGTTGGATTCGCGCTTTGCGAGCCTTTTGTGAGCTTGCATAAGACATACTCGAACGCTTCCACCAGTTCATTCGCAGTCAGCTCTGTGGATGGCAGACACGCCTCTGTAGCTATATTGCCGGTTGAATTGGACGAACCTGTTCATAAAATAAAGTTTTGTTATGATTTTTATAACAAGATTCTCGATACTTCTAAAATATTCTCTTTAGTATCAGTTAAATATTTACGGTAAAAATGTTATAGAGATAATTTTCGAGAATATATACGCGAGAATATCGAGTGAATAAACGATTCGCTAAAAGAAACTTACGGGTACACATGTAACAAACAATCGCTGAAACAGTATTTTCGTAATTCCACCTACGCCTAATGGCTACCTTAAAATTACCCACGCATCTTCCCGTTTCCTCGTCTGCAATTAAAACATTATTTAAATTACATACAATTCATTGAGACATGTGCGTAATGATTGTACGATCGGTATGGTTTTCACGTTACATGTGAATAATCAAATTCATGTCTTTTACGTACATTCAAATCTCTTATTATCCCTATGAGCCCAAACGCACCACTCGACCTGAGCACCACGCGGCAGATTTGGTACAACGATATAATCTACAATGGCGTTGTTTGATTTCTTCTCCCATTCCTTCCTCGCGTCTGCTATGTAACTGGGGTGCGTCAGGAAACAGATGCCTTGCACTATGTCTCTGAGATGTGTATTCGCGTCCATAGCCTTAAGAATACGATCTATGTGCCTCATCGTTAAGCGGCACTGCCGTTTAATGTTCAAATCCAAAAGAGTCATATTACCAGGTATCAAAGGTATTTGCCCGGCGACCGAGATAATATCGCCCACCTATTGAAGATATTAATTTTCTCATTTCAATCATTTAATTTTTTTTAATTTGCAAAATTATTTAAATCTTTCTTCTTCCAAAGTACAGAATTGCACTTACACGAACAGCTTGGGAGTAAGGTCCAATGTTAGCAGGTGCCCAGTGACTTATACTTTGAACATGCATCGTGTGTCGTTTATGAACATTCTTGTCTCCGTACTCTTGGTTTTCTTTGTATGCTGTTGCGTCCAGCACTATGTGTACGTTCAGGGGACATTCCACGCATACACGAACCGGTGGATTTCTTTTGCCCAACCAGGAAGTGTACACTTCGTTTATAGCCTTGTAACTAGACATGTCTTTTATGTATAACGTTACCGCGACGATATCAGATATTCGCAGATTTTCGTCCTCAACTAAAGCTGCAATTTGGGTGAAAGATTGTATGAAATCCTCTCTAGATACTTCTTATACTTGTTATATGTTAAACTATTAGATTTATATAGGAATAATTGCTAATCTAAAAAGTACATAATTAAGATGTAAAGTTCACCTACTGCTTAATTTTTCCAGTGCCTCTTCTACAGAGGATGTGACGTCCGGACGTTTCCCTGCGATACCACCAAACCAAAACCATCCTCTCTGATTTCTATTGACAACTGGTGTGTCTGGGTAATCCTCTTCCTCGTACAAGATCTCCATTGGGCTTGGAGGATTAAATGGGCCTGTACACATTCCGACATATACATGTACAAGTATCCAAAAAGTCTGATATCTCTTTTACAATTTGTAGTATACCATAAATTACAGAGGTGTTTTCGCTTTTTTCGTGTACTCTTTTTACATACCGGAGTTCGATGTCTTCAGACTATTATTTCCGCATTCGTGCTCGTCATTTTCGTCATCTGATAAATTACAGCCATCGTGCAGCACCGGACCAACTATTTCGGCAATGTAATCTTGAGATGTTTTTATCGAGACTGTTTTCAACCTTTCCGCCAGGCTTAATTTCTCCATACCGTTCTATAAAGTAAGAAAAAACTCTTTATTTTAATACCATAAAAAAGATTATATATCTAGAAATTATTTGTATAATATATAGGAAAATGGCAACTTACACTCTTCTCTTGTAAACGAATTTTTGTAAAATTAAGGTATCCTACAGGCGCTATGTCGTCACATGTATGTACAATGCTCTCATATTCATCACTAAACCACAAAATAAAGATAAAATTAAAGGTTGTTAATCATGTTACTTATGAAACACAAGTACGATCATGTAACTCACATTACAATGCTCTTTCCAAATAAAGGACAATCTAAAGTAAAAGTTTCATATTCTCCACCTTCTCCGCATATGTTTACTCCATACTTTTCTTTCTGTAAACATAATGTCTCTCATAACTATTATATTGTTATAAAAATATTAAAGATAGTAACAAGTTTCAGAGAACGCAAATGAAACAAGATACAAAGGATCAAATTATTAGAAATTCAATAATACTAATATGATATAATAAAAAATGTGTGACTTACTATCCTGACAAGATGGGTTTGCATTTCAGATATAGATTTACCCAAATGCTTAGGCTCAAGACCCAAGGCTGCAACTTTAATCAATACTGCATTAACAGAACTCTGTATCATCTCCATTAACAGCTGCTCCTGATCCCGTCTCCATAAGTACGATATGGAAATAAGACCTAAACGACTGCAGCTGAAAGAAGAATATTATAAATTACTTGTTTGAATTAAAGTAAAATAATTGAGATAATAAGTGAAATAGTTTATATAAGTAAAATAATTACACATTTTCTACGCGAATTCGTTGATAATCACTAAGAATAGCACCAGATGACACAGCCTCTATATTTTCACGCTCCTAAAAATATATATAGATCATTAGTGCTATAATATAGTTATTTGATATTATGTGTGCATATATATAAAAAATATAATTTACCTTTACTTTGCTCAAAAGTCTAAAAAGATCCTCAACTTCATCATTTTCTGTAGGGCAATAATATTTCTCTTGCATTTTAGATCTACCAAATGTTGGTTCACGATACATAGGCAAACCCATAGCCTTAGCAATGTACTCAACACCCTGATAGCCTACCGTTTGGTACATGAACGAGTCTAAATCATCTGGAAATATTGTGTTACATTTATATAATACATCTGCACAATTTGCAATATAAACTGCTAGTCAAGTATTTGAATACAATACAATCTATCTCCTGATACCTTTTCCAACAGGATACAAATTCGCTAAAGCCACAATTTCATGGCCAGCTGCTACACATTGCATCATATTGAAGCAAGAATCCTTGCCACCACTAACTAGCGCAACGACCCTCATCTTTTATAGATTGTGATTGGGTCTCTTGAGAGATAATTATGACTAAAATTAAAGCCGATTTATCTGTTTAGACAATCATCTGCAATAAAAGTAAACATACAGATATAAAAATATAGTTTATAATATTTATAACTTAAGGGCTGTAATCTTAGGAAATATATAACATAAAGTAATATTCATCAAACATTTAGCCAATAATAATAGTAATACAATATAATAATTATTATAACAATAATAATAACTGTATTAAATAATTATATTATTATAATTTAATAATTATAATAATAATAGTAATCATAGCAATAGCAATACTAACATAATGCTATATCTATAAATATATTCTAAATTCTATATAAATACTGAAAAACCAAAATTAGTATATCAGAGTTGATTTAATATTTTATAGCGCTAAACATATTATTTCTTCCTTGTAAATATACCTTACCTCATTGTACTTATTAGTGCATACCTACAATTTATATAGATAGAATAGATAATAGACTATGATTTTATAATAGCATTAAAATATCACACACACTACTTATAATAACCTACATGACACTACACATTTACATATAATAAACAATTAACATGCATTGAATATACATATATTAATACGATAATTAGGGCGTTTAAAAAGTAAAGTCATAAAAGTGTGAAGCATCAGCTAAGCGTGTGTATGAATGAAAAGCCGCGAGCACGCGATACAGAAATATAAGCGTCGAAGGTAATACGATTTATTTGTTAATATATATGTGTGTGTATATATATATATATATATATATATATATATATATATATATA